CTACTTGAAATTTTAAAAGCGTATAACAAATACATTAGTACATTTCCATAAAGGAATGCGTTTTGTTTTTTTTTTCCAAAAGGAGCCTAAAAGCAGTCAACAAGTTGAATTAACTTGTGCAATAGCAATATTCAAAAATTTGTCACATAGCCTAACCATACCTTATTTTAAAACATTCATAGCAGTTATAAAAAAATGTACATATTACCGAAACAAGTGTAATTATTTAAAATTCAAAAATACCTTCATAAATTTTTTATTATATTGCAATTATTTTATGAATTCCCAGAATTATTCTGTTATACGAAATTCTACTTAAATTTTATTCCATTTCATTTTCAAAGTTAAAATTTAGACTTAAATTGGAATTTTTATTTTTAATAATTTATTATTAATATGAAATTAAACATTGAATATTAAATGCAATTAAATATAGAAAATTATTATGTTATGTGACGGGGGAAAAACCTTTGTATAGAAAAACTTGTTTAACAGTAACTTTCTTATTAATAAAAACTTACGATAAATGTAATTTAAGGTCTAAATTTTAAAAAAATCTGTGGGATTTTACTAATTGAATAAAATAAGATTGTATTTATACAAAAACGTTTACATTTCCAGTTTACTACATGAAAGCGTAAAGATTATAAGATTTTATAGATTTAAGTAGAAAATTTATTAAATTTTTTGTTGAATATTGGAATATTTATGTTCCGGGAATTTTGTATTTACGAAAATTTTATTAAAGTTTTGTATTTCATATGTTTTTTCGGAATTTACGGGTTTTTTCTATATAAATTAAAAATTAAAACTACAATAAAAAATATTATAAAAAAAATTCAGAAATAAAATAATTTCGAAATTTTCAAGCTTAATCTTTACAAAATGCTACAGAATAAATATAACAAGCAAAAAGGATTAAATATTGAATAAATTAGTTACTATATACATATATAATGACTAACTGATATTAATTTATGGTATTCTTTTATCTAGTATAGCAAGCGCCTTATTTTTTGCAATATAAGTTTGATTTATGAAATAGTTCCGTAGCTACATTGGACTTTAGCAACAAAAATGTATTAACTCAAAATTCAGCTTCCGAAATCATTGAAACTTTTAAAAGTATTTGCCAATCGGTGGGTTAAAGCATCTCATGTTTTTAAAAAAAGGATGATAACAGATCTCTTAAAATAGGTTTGAAAAGTCACCCGTTCTTTTATACACGTAGATTTGTACTTTACATTTGTTTGTTTAATTAATTCAAATTTGATGTAGAGTTGCGATATGTAAAATCATTTATTTTAATCGTGTATGTAGGTACTAACTTTGACTAACATTTGAAAGTTTTATTAACAAATTCAACGTTTTTTGGAAATGAATAATAACCTATCGGGAAAACGTGTTTAATGATATTGCGTTTTAGTTGGGAGAAATCAATCAAAAAATTTTGTACACTGATTAATAGCGATAATTAAAAATTTTATAAAAGAAAAATCAATCTTGCGATCCATGTTAATTAATTTAATTTTTGTTATTAATTAGTACTACTAAACACACAGGTTTAGATCGCAGTATATATTAGAAATTATAAATGTTTAAATCACCTTTCAAAACACATTCTATCACAGTGTACATGTACAACGTACGAGCTCTTAGTTCAGAATATGTAGAAATGAAATCTATGAAACCTAAGTTATATAAAATAAATATCAAAAATATAGGTTCTTAAAATGAAACAAGGTTGAATTATAATTTGTTTACAAAGAATTCAATTCAATTATTTCTTGTATTTGATTAAATTTAGGTCAAAAGTCTTGTATGCAAGTGTTAAAAAAAATTGTTATTTAAACTTATGTTTTGTGTCAAATAAACACTATTAAGATAATTTGTACAATATTATTAGTAAATATTACAAGTTGTTTAATTTTTAAAGATCAATATGTACTTTTTTCAATATTTGAGCAGCTTTCAAAACAGATTTTACGAGTATTGCCATCAAATTTTTGAATATTTTTTAAAAATAATTGTTGTTTACAAACAAAATATTTAGTTTGTTTATAAAAAATAAAATTCTGTACCTACAAGCCGAAACATCTTATACCCTAACAGCTTGGGTTCTCTAATAATTTGAGAGTAAAAGACATTTAATACTTTAATAATTGAGCTCAATGAATGGGCAGCACACAATTTTGAATTGTGGATACAGAGTTGTTCTCTTTAAATCTTTGCTATTTTTTATTAATAGATACCATATAATTTAAAGCAATTTTGAATTTTATTATATTATTTGACGGTTTTATAATAAAAAACCAAATATGCTTAGCAATTCATTCAACAACTAACTTAGCAATGTTTTAAACAGCTTCTATATATAGACTAATGTATATGAAGTAAGCGTCAGCTAACGAAAATCTGTTCAACAAGTTGAATTTCTGTTTAGTTGTTAACATCAAATAGTTAATTTCATTAAATTTACTATTTAATTTACCGAACTAAAATTTTGACTAAATAAGTAACTATAAAAGTAACAGAAAAAAACAAGTGATGATAAGGTTTTAAAATTTTTAACATTATTTTTTGAGAGCTGGCGGTAAGATAACAAAACTTTATTAATATTGTTATATGGGTATCACACCTATCAAAAATTGTTTACAAAATGGAAAAAAATAAAAGGTTATCACGGATTTTTTTCCAAAAAAAATTCAAAATTTATGCCCTTAAAAACTCACGATTTATGATGGTATGTGAAAACATAATTTTATCAAAAATTTTTAAAGAGATAAAATTAAATAAACATTATGGTATTTGTATGTAGTAATTTTAAAAATTTTTAAACCATGTTTATTTTGAACAAAGAAAAGAGATAAATTTTGAAATAATTTCAAAACAGAGACTGATAAACTGTTAAGAATTTTGTTTTTTTAAAATCATTAAATTAGAATGTGTTTTGAAGGAAAACATGCTTGCAAGAGACGCCAATTTGAACAATCATAACATGAGATTCGTTGGGTATTTAAAATTATATAGGATTCAAATGAACCAGCTCAAAAAGAAATGAAATTTTAGAATTTACAAGAACAAGAAAATATGTATGCATAATTTATTTTCCAATAATTTGAGTCAAGTGCGATATTTGATAGGGATTGAATACTGTTCTCAACTTTTCAATTGTATTCGTGTGATTGTATGATCATAGCATAAGTATGAACGAAAGTATCACATGAGACATTATTATTTTGTCAAGCTAAGTAATCAACATGTTAATATCACGAGTTAATTTTTTTTTATATCATACAATACGGCAAATACAAATAATGTAATTGTGTGGTGCAACATTATATCACGTTTGGAATATGTAAATTAAGTTTAAAAGGAAATTTTAATAATAATATCTTTATACTTAATTCTTTTATTTAATTAAATAAAATAAACTATTAGTAAACAAATAATGAAATTAATATGTCTTTGTTTAATGTAATTAGTTTTATTTGAAAATTTACTTACTTTAAATACTTAATTAGAAAAGATGTTTGACAAACATGTTGTATTGTCTTAATTTGTTATTTACAATAATTTCTATTTTCATTTACTTTTTGTATTTGAATAAGTTACATTTCTTTCTTAAATTTATTCATTAATAAATATTCGAAAATTATTTCCGCAATTCGACAATAGTAATTATTAACCTATTTTATATTTCTTTTATAAAAACTAAAAAATATTAAGTGAACCTGATTGTTTTCTTGAATTATTCCCACAATTACTTAAAGCTTAAGTAATTATTAAATTTTCCCTTATTTACATAATGCATTCTTAGAAGGAAAAATTAATAAACAATCATATGAAAATTTAATATATTTTGAAATATCAGAAAAGTTTTTATATAATTCTGAATTCATTATTCTGTAATATATATTATAAAAATTTTATTAAATAGCATCACCCGAGTATAAACAATACTATTTGTGTTTATATAATATTATTTTATAAAAGTAAACTCGAAAATTTCACAATCTCAAAATTAGTCATAAAACTATAAATTGTTGTTGTAACAAATATCAATAAATGACGTATTTGTATTATTGAGTTCTTATATAACTGAGTAATCTACATACATACATATATATTATACAATTGTACATTGTCAAAAAAAATTGTTAAATTTGTCATAAATTTAATTGAATATTTTGCACGAATTGATAAATTTTTAAATTTTAAATTTTTTCCGAATGAGTAGCAGTGATGATTTGTAATTTTATTGTTTATAAAATATTAAAAATTAATTCTATCTATCTACATATATCTAAAAGAGAAATTAAATTTGAAAATCGTATTATTTTTAAATTGAAGTAGTAGGAATAACCATTCCAAGTTGATTTTATACATGAAATTTAGTCCGGTAAAGATCTACTTCTATTACAAGTATTTTACTTTTTTTTATCATTGGAAAAGATGTTTTCGAAAGCAGCCGATTAAAAATGCTACTAATATACTATTATAGCCGAATTCATTTTAAATTAGGGTGCTTTTGCAAATGTTCTTATACAATTTTTCAAGTGACATTTTACATTACAAACTTATGTTGACAAATAAATAGATGTTTATTTCTTAAATATAAGCTTATAATTTCATGATACCATGCAATTTTCATATTTTAATTTCTATCAAAACGATTGCAAAATTTTAAAGCAAATTAAGAACATTATTCCTATTTTTGTTTCCATATTTAAGATCGGTTTGAAAACATTAAACAAACATGTCTTATAGACAAATTTAAAATATCAAACATTATTCATTGGTTTTATTGTTTAATGAGATTTCATTCTAATTTTTGCTATCAAATAAGATCCAATTGTCATTAAATTTTAAACAAATCAAACTAAATTCATATTAACTTTAATAGTGTAAATACTGACTTATATATATCATAAAACATACATGTGTATACAATATTATATATTTTTAAAATGTTAATTTAAAAAAAATTTATAACTTACCATTTTGATCAGTGTATCCCCAATTTGCGCTCATATTTTAATTTTCTTTTATTTTTTTTATTGATTACAATAATTTATTGTTTTCAAGAATATTGTTTAGTAATAATATTAATTATTTAATAAAACTCAAACGAATTTCTAAAACTAGAAAAAATTAAAAAATAAAATAAATTAATTTCTAAATGAAAAAACAAAACAAGGAAAAAAACAGTAAAAAAAATTTAAACGGTTTTCTTATGTGCAAAACCTATTCAAAAAAAAAAAAAAAAGAAAAACAACAAATCAATTTTACGTGTTCCACTTAATGTTTGTATGTTTTTATATATGTATAATTATAATTAAATATAGAAATGTATGTATTTTTTATATTTATAAACGTATAAAAAATGTAAATAAACAAAAAAAAACCGAATGAATAAATAAAAAATTATTGAACTTGGCTTGAAAAAAAAAATATTTGAAAACACTAACGAAAAAAATACTAAAAATAGAAATTCAAAAGAAAAAAACTCGTTTCTCCCAATTTTAAAACTGGAGAGTTAATCATCATCGGTTCACTTGCTCCAAAAAGGTAAAGATTTACAAAAAAAAGGTAAATAAATAAAGCCAACACAAGAAAAGAGAAAAATAATAAAAAAATAAAATAAGTTTTTTTTTAAACAATTTCAGTCAATTTATCAAAAACCGACTCGAAAAATGACACTTCAAATGATTGGAAAACTGACAGTTTTTAAATTTATTTTTCCTAATTAATTTGAAAGAAGCGTCGCTTAAACACTTGTTCTAAAATCAAATGACACATGTACTAAAAATGTTTTTGTTTAATTGGTTTTAATTTGAAATTGTAATTGATTAGCGCTGATATAACGGATTTTTATGTTCATTAAAATTAATTAAAAATTAATTTTATTAATTTTATTTTCCAATATTTAAAATGTATTCTAAAAATTTTATGTTTTTAGAGTGTTTGCAGTATATTATTTATTTTATAACACAAAATTTTATAAAATTGAAAAAAAAATATAAAAATTATTTTGAATTACTTTTTTAAATTATTTTAAAACAAAAATTTCCTCTTTTTAAAAAAAAAATTAAAAAAAAAGAAAAAACCGCTGGAAAAAAATATTTCTTTTTTTTTATAACAAAATAACAACCAAACTCGTAAGCGAATTGATAAAGACTGAAGGTTTTCCAAATGAGAGAATTAAAATGAAAGTTTCATTCGTATCGTAAAACGTTGTTCCGTCCACCAATTCAAACGTAAATAAAATAAAATAAAAATATAAAATACTTAAATTTGTATGTTCAGTTTACTTTATAATTTTATAAAAATGTTTTGTTATTTTGTTTTATAGTTTTTCTCTATTATATGTTATATACGTTATACGTTATATACGACACACGTCATAACTCATAATCATATGATTGTATGTATATAAAACTGTTTTGGGCTAAACATTTTTTGTATTTTATAAGCAATGGGCTATCGCTTATTTTTTTAAGCTTTACTAAATATAATGTTAAATTTGTGCACATTTTATATACATCATTATACCTATATACATATATTTTATTAAGTTATGATGAGTGAAATGCGACATTAAGAAGCGAGCCGCGTTTCTCGTCTTTTTCTTTGTTATTCTTTTCTTTAACTATAATAATAAGTACCCGATATGGAAGTAAAATGTAATGAAAATCAAGAAAATTAAAAGTTGCAAATTTAATAGTGTTTTCGTAAATTTGAGTAGGATCACTTGATTGCTTTCAAAGAGTTTAAAGAACTATAAGATTTATTATTAACATAATAGAATTACGGGTATTTTAACTGTCCATAACTTTAATATTTCAATAATATTAGAAATTTTCTGTTTAAACGCAATACTGCAAAAACATAACTTGATGGGTATGCAGCAAATTTTTGATTTGGCTACGAAAGCAAAACAGCTGATTATAATTTAAGTACGCTACTCATAATAATTTGAAACATAACAAGTTTGTCAACATGAGACGTAACTGAATTTTTTAACTTATAAGTCGTTATTGTTATATTAAGAATTACATATATACCGTATTACATCAACTTTGAAATCAGACTAGTTGAATTTCGATAAGTATTAAGTTGTAAACCTGTAGTAAATCCAATTCAGAAATTTTTACTTAAACTGGATTCAACAATGAATCCACCGGTTAAGTTTTATTCAACTACGTTATTTGACATATGTAACATATTTTGTAACCTAAATCATTTTTTTAATGATTGCAATTCTGTTCTTTTTAAAAATTGTTTAAAGACCGTTTTAACATTTATTAGTAATTCAGCTTATGAGTTTTAATTGCTGAATTATCTCTCTTGTTTCTTGGACTTTTCACAATATGCTTGTATTGCGTTAAATACAAGTATTGCGAATAATAAAATTTTTATATTTTCTTCACCAATTCATATTTTTGTAAAAATATCATTCTTCATTTCTATCTTATATTTGAAAATCTCTTCATTTCTGTATTTATTTAAATTAATGCAACTGTTAAGTAGGTATATAGAAGTTAAGTAATAACGAATAAATGAATATTTTAATATGCAGCGCATATTTAAGCACATATTTTGATTTGTATGTATGTACAAACAAACACACCATATCCGTAAATAAACAACTCACGTGAGTAAATATAATACTCATATGAGTGAGTAGTGTAACAAACCAGTACAGTATATAAAAAAAAGAAAATATTAAATTACAAAATATGAGAATCTTTGAAAGTTTTGTAGCGAATTGTATTATAGTAAGTATATATTGCATTTCAAACTAAGAGTATATTGAGATATTCTCACTTTATTGAGAGAATTATATTGTGAATTTTTTATTTACAAGCTACCTATATAAGCAAAAATATTGTTAAAAGACTGTGCAATCTTTTCAAATAAAAAACGAAGTTGTCACTACTTGTTGCATTTATGTATATATACCATTTAATATTAATGTCGAAAGCGTAAATATATACAATGTGTGTACATACAAACACTGTAATAATGGGTTATTGAATATCTTTTAAATTTTAATTCGCGTGCCTTTAATTTATAAGATTTTATTTTCAATTGGATGCTACTATATTATAAATTGTGTTGCATATTTTTTTTATACATGTCTTTTATGTGATATAATGTTATTTCTCTTTGTATTTTTATTTCAAGCTAAAGTGCAATCAAAATACACACATACATATAGGTATATATATATTTATGTGTGTTTTAAATACACTTGATTTTTTCAAAAAATTTTTATAATAATTTAAAAATTGTAATTAAATTTAAGTTCTATATCTGTGTAATAATTTAAAATGTGGCATGACATAAAATTTGTGGCATGATATAAAGAATTTTTAACAAATGCCTTTGTCAATACTAATTGTTTAATATGTAACTTAATTTGAATGCCGTGCAATCAAAATAATTGATATTTTGTAGTTTACAAGCTAGAATGTTAACTTTTCCCGTTGTTGTTAATATTTTAACTCTATAAGTCTTGTTTTTTTGTCGATTTTTAAGTTTTTAAAATTTTCCAAAAGAACAGGTATGATACATTGTACAATTTTTTCACCTAAAATTGCTATTAATAATTTTTTTCAGGAACCTTTTTCTATATGTACATATAATATCATAAACTTATAAGTTGTAAGAAGTAAGGTGTATAAGAAACAAAATAGCAATCTGAAAATGAAAAGATTTAAGTCAAATGGTTTTTATAAAGTGGTTTATCTACCTGTACTCCCCTTTTCTTTACTTTGTTTCCATGTTGTTATTAATATCTAAAAATTATTTGAATTTTTTTTATTAAATACCAAATAATAGGTTTAATTTAAACCGCAGCTTAAATATCAAGTTAACCTTAGCTAATCACACTTTTTAAGTTTGTGCATATACATGTATGTATGTATATATACAAATTACGTATGGTAAAACCCAATAAAATATTGTTAAGTTTAAAAATCTTTGGTTTTAAGTTTAAATTAACCACAAAACTTATTGATTATTAATGTAAATTTAATTTGATATTCTTTTAAAAGTTTAAGCATCACATTTTCGATAAAATTAAAAAATAATTAAAAAAAAATATATAGAATAGTTTGGCTCTGTCCGTCTAAGTGCTTCAAACTTTAAAGTTGTTGAAATTTTATGAACAAACGATTGCAATTTTATTCAAATCATATGGATCTTTGTGGGGAAAACTGATCGTCAGAAATTTTCAAATTTCACGCTTTAAGCTGTATTTAAGTTGTATAAAAACACCAAAACACGTAACAGCAAATTTTTATTATCATAAAATATAATTTAACTGATCTAATTGGGAAAAGCGTATAATTACGTTATTACGTCGGTTCTTTTTAATTTTTGTCGCTCTCCTGAAAGTATGCAATGACATGAAATATGTTATTAAAAAAATGTGTAATGTAAATTAACATGCTGCTTTTGTTGAAGTAAGAAAAAGTATAGTAATGTTAAAGAAAATGTGCTGATTTTAATTGTTTAATTCTAGTCTATTGTAAATCAATTCTAAATGTTTTTTTTAATTGTAGTAAGTATTAAGAGAAACTTACAGACAAACATTATAAAACTGTGTTTACAATGCTTTAATATGTCTTTTAAAATTAATTTATATTTTGCTTACATTTATATGAACTTTTACTTTAAAGTATTCTACTGGAAAATTCATCCTGCGTTTTCCTTGAATTGTAACATATCTTGCCGGTATAATAATAGACAATAATTTGTATTATTGCATTATCTTTGAACTTCTCAAGGAAATGCATTACCATATGAATTTAAGAATGCTATAATTTTCTCCTTGAATGTGTGTATTATATACATATTATTGTACAGCAAATATATACATATGTATATATCTACGTTATGTATAATATGAAGTGTATCTTTTCTTGTAAAATTTCATACTTTAACTATCTTTTTGAATGAAAGCATATGAATGCTAAGGCTAAGGACATATATAGTTGACTTTATCACTAAGGGTTAGTGTAATATCATTCGCATTATTAGTAAAACGTTTAGACTTTAATAAGGACAAAATTAAGAAAAAACTTGCAATTATTATTAAAAAAATTGGGCTGTCGACCTGTAAAAAAGTCTCTAATCATTAGTTGAATGAAGAAGTTGAAAGAATATTGAACATTATATGATTCTTCCATAAAAATTCGACAGGAAATTATATGTAAAATTTAACAGCAAGCCTAACATAGAAATGGAATTAAATTTTGTATATTGAATTACTTCAATTGGAAAATAGATTGATAAATATTTATTAGATTAATACTAAAATTTAATATTAGTCTATGTATCATACTATAATCCTGCTTACTACAACTTTGCAATCCCATGTTTGTAATTGAATTGAAAATTACCTTCAGCATCTGAACTTGAAGACCATAATGTCCATAGAACTTTTTATTTAATCTAAAATAATTATGATAGTATTAAAATACACTACAAGTGTATTATAAAAAGCAATAAATTACAAAAGCTTTAGTATAAAATTACTATTTTATGTATATAATTTTGTAGACTCGTGATAATCACGGAATTTTAGTTAAATTCGTCATATCCTCTATCTTTCTTATTTACACACATTATTCTCTATTTTGAAGTTGATTGCAATTACCCTTTAATTATATGCATTTCTGTTGTTCTTTGTTATTTTCATTTCATTCAGATTTACATTAAATTAAAAAAAAAAGCAAAAAATTGTGTTTTGTTGCGAGATAATTTTGTGTTTCTCAGAATATTAAAAAGAATTACATCAATTTAATATTGGACTTTAAATCAATTTCTCTCTTTTGAAATAATTTCAATAAAATAAATTTTAATACAATTGTGTCCAATATACTGTCAAGCCACAAAAAATATATATAAAACCGTATTGCTGATTGAGCAATAGCAATGTGTTTATTTGGAATTTTTATTACATTTCTGTCTACATCAAATATTCCAAAGATTCATACAATGTTAGCACAATAATAGTATTCGTATTATGTATATATTATATCATGTGAGCTTCAAGCAAATTTATTAACATAAGTTTTCAATACAGGTTTTCAATGTATTTGCATCATGCGATTTTTCTCTTCATTTACGTAACTTTAATATATCATGCAACATAGTTGTTGTTTCTGTGTCACATGAATTTGGATTGAATTAACAATTATATAATATATCATATATTATTATATTACATAATATATTAATATTGAGTTAATATTGTACCAGTAGCATAATGTAATATCATTTATGTAAAAGCTAACAATTACAGAGCTACAAACTGTTTTCCTTTAGTACTTTTTCAAGGTAACCGATAGTATAACAATATTGTGCTGATACCAATTTATGAATTCTTAATTATATTAGATTTGTTTTTCGAAATTTTGGTTTTTGATATATCAAAGCGTAAATGATAAGTAAATACTTGAAATTCTTAATAATTTTTATGATAATATCAAAATATTTATTATGGAATATTTTTTCTATATTATATTCGCTTTTTTTTATATTTTATTAAGTAAATAAATAAGAGATGAACTTGTTAATTTTTAGTGTGATGGTGTGAACAACATTTATCAATTGTTCGAAAATTAATAAAAATATTTCATATGAAACCAAAAATTGAATTAGTCAGTGTATACAAAAATATTAATCAGAGCTGCTAATTAAAAGAGAAATATATATGTACATATATTTCTTTAATTTTAATAAAAAATTAAAATATTTAAATATATTTTTACCATATAAGGTAGAATTGATGGTAATGATGAATCTAATGAAGATTAGAATAATTTACACAACAATAGGCAAATCCAAAATTAGTAAAATATTGAGAAAAAGGAATTGTTAGAGTAGATGGGAAATCGTTGCTTAAATAAATTTTGTTTCCTAAAGATTTCCTAAATTTTTCTAAATTAACAAGAAAACATATTGAAAAGTTTTCTTTTAATTAACACTCCAGACTTTAAAATTTTAGGAAATGAAAATGAAGGCTAAAATAATATAATGTTTCCTTAAGTTAAATAATTTAGTTTATTGTACTTGGCACAAATGATAATTAATCATTAGTATTAAAAGTGTATGTATCTTAATTAATTTAAAACTAAATTAATATTATAAATAGCAGTATAGGACATTCATTACAATTTTAAAAAAATTCTTGAATTTCTAAATTTAAACAAAAAACCTATTAAAACTCCTTTATAAAAATGGCACAAATCTAAAATCGTTATCCTTGAATCCTTTCTCTTTAGCCCATAACTCTTTAACATCCTCTTTTGTTATATGTGTTCTTATCGGTTTACCTTTCGCATCCAATGATAAATAATCAATTAATTTACTACTAAATGTAACACTTCTTAACGGACTTGGGTTTGCATTGCCAGAAATTGGAACATCTTCACTAAGATCAATAAAAGTATGCTTATTAAATTGAAAATTTTCTGGCAAACAATGATGTTGTAAGCAATAATAGTTTTGTCCACCCTGAGAGTTACACCAGGTTCCATCAGGAAAATAGGCATTTATTCCAATTTCATTTAATTCTAAACGTGGTGTATAAAAAGAATCACTACCACTTCGCCGACAAAATATTGCACAAGACATCCATAAACGATTTGATTCATATGGTGCTTGGAGGCCAACTCCTTTTGGATCAATCTCAGAAATATGTCTACTAAATTGTTTACATTTATTTGAAGCATAATGAACTGGTGTCCTTCTTTTAACATTTCGGCAAATCTTGAATTAAAATAATGAAAACTTTAAATAAAGTCAGTCCAAAATAAAAAAGTTAAAAATTAACATACATGTTCATCTTCACATAAAATCATATCATAAGAAGCTCCTTCACAACCTTCGTTTGTATTTACTGGCTTTGGGTTATTACATTCTCTGCGCTGTGTTCTACCTCCTTTTGAGTGTACCATACAACCTGATGCGCATTTGCCTTTAACCCATGGTCCCCATCCGCCTTTTATAATTGGTCCCTGTTGAGGAATCTTTCGCCTTTGTACACAATATCCACCTTCACACCAAAAATTGTTTCCACATGTAGTACCTTCGAGAGCAGGACCTGAAAAGAAAAATCCACTACGATGCGGTGACCTACACTGAAGATTTTGGCATATTCCGTCTAAATTATTTGTGGTTGAAGCCATTGCATCACGATCACTTATTTTTTTAAGTTAATTAAAACAGATATTATTTATAAAATTGTTTTATGTGAAATATTATTTGTAAAATAATTTATAGCAATATTGAAGTAACTAATTTTTGAATTTGTAAAAACTTACACTAAAAGAACTTCGCATTGACTTTTTGCAGACCATTTAATACCCGGATATCCTAAATATTTCCAAGCATCATAATTCTCTGGAAGAATGGGAGGTCTATCATTTAAGCATGTGGCCCAACTAGAATGGAAAGAATAATTTAAAGATTTATTATAATTTTTAATTTAGGGATAAAAGAAGAAACGTACTTTCCCAAATTTCTAATAATATCAGAGCTGCAAGTTGACCAAGAGGTTTCACCTTGAGTTCCCCGTGACGCTGACATAATATATCCATCCTGAGAACACTGGTTACCAGTACCATCATGTGACATACCCAAACTATACAAATTTTAGTCAAATTTATTTATTTATTTATTGTTCAAATAGTTTTGTTACTTATGCCCTATTTCATGAGCTGCAATATAAATCGAATTGAATCCAGCTGAAGGATATGGTCTACCAAAAGAATTTGTTGCTCCAAATTCAACTATAACACATGAATATTGTCTTGAACAAACACCACGTACAGTAGCTAAGCCCATTGTTCCAGCTCTTCTTTGTCCTCCTTCATAAGCATAAAAGTCTAATCCTGACAAATATAATCCTATGTCCCAATGATCCTGATCTGTATCACGTGGACTATTCATACGCATATGATAATTACAAAATGAATCTAATAAATTATCTCTTTCTCCACCATGTGCTGGAAGTGATGCTGGTTGTCTTCGCATAATTTCCATTCTAGTTATTGTTATATCAACTGGATATGCTAATGAGCTGTGATGATAAAGTGCTTGGACACCATTCATATAAGCTAAAATCATTTGTGCTAATCTTCGATCATCTGAATTAAAAAGGGGTGAAAATGCTTTATATGCAGCTTCATCGAAAAATAATCCCAATTCAACAATGTATTTAGCATCTTTCTTAATTATTCTTGCATCATTTACACTGTTTTGTGGAGAAGGTGTTCTTAATGTAAAATTAACGTTTTCTGTATTGATAAATGCATTTATATCTTCAGTTGTTTCGATTTTAATCGGATGACTTGACGTTGTTTCAAATATTTCCGTAATGTTTTCAATACTTTTGAATTTGGACAAAAAAAATTTATAAAATAATTTTAATATTTAGTTGTTCGAATTAATTGACAAAGATATTACCTTCTAACAGGTCTTGATAAGTTTGGTACAATTTCAGGTTTAATAGCACGTTTTACAAGATGCGCGTATTCTATTGGTTCACCATCATTTTGTGACCTTAATATGTCACGTAGTCTAGTATTTAGAGGTTTAATTTCATAAGTATCATCCACTGTCAAAATCAAACCATGCTATAGAACAATAAAAAAAAAAATCAAAATTCATTATTTCATTTTTAAATTTGAAATATCAAATGTCATTTGATGTGTGATTGCTTCAGTTTTGTTAATTTCTTTACCATACTCTTTAATTTTACTTTCATGAAATTTCTATTGAATTTTATTGAAAAAACTTTAAAAAATATTAAAAATTATTTTAAATTTACACTCACATATTGTTTATGATTTTCACAATCATTCAATGCTGCAACACTTTCATCATTTTTATGTAAGTAAAAGCAATTTTTAATATTACTTCCATTATTTTGTAAAAATAATTCATTATCACGGAATATTTTTAAATTAGGTGAAATTAATATGTCGTTTGGTTTTAAATTGAGAGGAATTTCCCTGTAACGGTAAAACAAAAAATATTACACTATAATCAAATTAAACAAAAAATTCATCACTTTAAGTTAAGACACAAACCTATCAAAAATATTTAACTTTATTGAATGAATATTATTCAACTCATTATTATCGTTATGGTGAGAAATATCACGTTTAAATTTATGTTGTATTTTTTCAATTCCCGTTATGTCATAATCATTATGATTAATTTGATTTTGTTTTAATTCATTGTTAAAATAAAATTCTAATTCTTCTTGATTCATTAAATTATGTAATCCATAATTAGCACCATTTGTTATGCACATTAATCCAAATAATGTTGTTAATCCAAGGTAAATGTGGTAATACATTTTGTGAAAAACATTGGGTAAACCGTTTTTTTTATAATTCAATTTTTCACTTCTTCTTTTTTTCACAAATCGCGATTTAAAATTTGGTTACGATTAAACAGCGGTTTTTTTAAAGACTAATTTATTTTGAAGATGAGATGGTCTTTATATACCTTGGCGAAAAATCTGATATGTTCTTAATTCTCTTTATGGATGCAATTTTGCTTTTTATTTAAGTGTTTTGTAATTTTCGTTTTGTTTTTTTATTTTTATTTTGCCGTTTCTTTCTTTGAAAACAACTCTTGGAAATCCAGTAAACACTAGTAGAGAAAGTTAAAATTGGTACACCTTTCATTTTTTATTATTTAGATTAACAAGAAGAAGATCAACAAGTCATAAGTAGGTGGTATATTTAATAACGGTGTTGTTATTTTGGTTTTTGTTTTTTTTTTACAACATTCTATTTATTTATTTAGCCAAAAAATTAAGTCTGGCGTAAGATTTTCATTAACATATTGTGCAAATAAAAATTTATTTTTCTTTTTTGTTTTTTTTTTTTATTTTCTGGTGAAAGAACAATGAAATTTTTGGTTTCGGTTATGATTTTTTAAGTCAGTTTGACATTTTTATTAATTAACAAAGAAGATCATATTTACATTGAATTTATTACGAAACATTAATTAAAGAATTTAAGTTATTAATGAAGATTGTAGGATTATTTAGGCAATCCTAGCCTAAATGAAAGAGTATTGAATATTTTTATGAAAACATAATTGAAAAAAGAACATTACCGTTTTTAAAGCTTAATAATTAATACCTAGGCTTATTAATTTCTATTAAATTGTTATGAAAGGTTGTAATCAATCATATATTCTTAATAATAGGAACATTCTTAACCGCAAATATTTTTGTTAATTTTATCGGCTATATAAATTCCTTTTTACAAATTCACTTCTGTTAAATTAAAGCCACTATGCATAAACATGTATGTTATACTTATATTATAAATTCAACATTGACATAAATCATAGTACATTAGCATAATAAAGCGATACTTATAAGTATGACTACGTATACTAACTAACTGTTATGCGAAAAGCATGCCAAAAGGTGATTGTGATTTTGTTTTACCTTTCTTTTATTCTTTAAATTTATTATAGTGAAGTGATTGACATTTGAACAAGCTTTACGTATATAAAAGAGAAATGATAAACATATCAATTAAACAGACTGAGAATAGTGAGAATTTTAAGAAATTCAAAATAAAATTATAAAAGTGAAATTGTATTTTTTATGTAGGCGAATTAAATTTTTCTCTGTAATACATTATTTTTTGGAAATATTTGAGGAGTAACTGCTTTAAAAGAATCCAAAAAACGTAAATATACCTACGTGTATACATACATGATGTTTATTTTTATAGTTTATGAATGCCAAATTTTAATTAAATTATGTAAATATGAATTGTGTGTTCTCCTTTTTTAATGTGTTTGCTTGATTCTTATGATTAATATGTGCATTAATATACATATCGAAGTTATTAAAAAGATAAAAGCTTTTCATTGAGCTTGAAATCGTATAGCAAGAACTTCTTTCTCTATTTTTACCGACCACATTATGTATACTTACATGTCGAATTTTGTGTATCGATGGGAACGCACTTCGCCATAAACATAAGTAAAACCGTCGATCTGTCCATCTGTCGGTCGGTTAGTCTGTGTGTGCACGCGTGTACCTCAAGTTCGGTTGAACCGATTTTGATGGAATTTCAACTTTTGGAATATATTTTATGTAACTTTTAATTTATATAAGTAAGTTATATTAATGCTTTTGGAATAATGATATAAGAGATTTACTAGAAATTTCATACATAAGCTTCATTCGACCGTACGCGAAAGTTTTGGAAGAAATCAGATGTCAGCAACATGAAGGTTTACTACGGGTCAAATACACATTTTTTGGTATATAAAGAGGGATAAAATAAAACAATGAATCTATAAATTTTTTGAAAAGATGAAGGCTCGGAAAGTGATCTAGGGGCTGATTTTATATTTTTTACCAAATCTATGGAACGGATTGACGGAATTTTTTGAAATTTAATATTTAAGTTTTAGTTATTATCAGAAGTTGTTGAGGAACTTTTCCAATAATTCAGACGGAACAAAATGAAACTCTACTAAGAGCCAAATTCACATTTTTCTAGGTACGTTAATTAAAAGCTTATTTAGTTATAGTAAAAAAGTGTTTAAAACGCATTTTCATAATTTTCTGGAAATTATTCCAGAAGTTATAAGGATAGTAGTTATAAGGTACAGATATGTTATAGGAGTATTTTTTATAAGAACAGTGTTTGTAATGAATTGATACGTTTATTATGATTCACACTGTATAGTCCGTCCAACCATTGTCAATGTATTTATTAAAAATTTTGATTGTTATTTTAATTGAACTCAATACTGTTATTGCATACATTTGAAAAACTTTTCAATCACGGTAAAATTACCATACAAAATGATCATTTCTGTACTAAAATTTTTTTTCCTACTGTTTTTTATTTACACAAATTACAAATGTATAATTTTAAACTGTTTTCCCTTGTATACAATAAAATTTTCATTAAAAGACAAAATACACCACTGTTTCTGTCATTTTGTAGACAGAAAATTTTTTTGACATTTTATTTTCGTCTTATATTCGTATTTTTATGGTTCTGTAAAGTCATTTACAGAAAAAATACGAAACTTTGTAAAAACAAATACGTAAAATAAAAATCAATATTCCATTCCATTTCTTATAGTCAGTCTGTCAGTTTTCTATATTAACATTTCTGCACCCGGTGTCTTTTTCCTTTCTCTTTTTTTTAATTTTCTATTATATTATGAAGGAACGCAAAAAAAAAAGCAAGAATGTGTTTTTATTTTACATTATAGAGACATATACTTATACATTTTCTCATATGGTATATGATATAATGAAAATTAGATGACAGGAAAATGTATTAGCACCCCTAAAAGTAACACTTTAAATAAGAGAAACTAAGTTGAATTTTTTTGGTTTTTTAAACATATAATCATTTTATGACTCTAAAGCATTTTTTTCTAAATTTATTGTATAAGAATTAAAAATATAGAATTTGTGAAATTTTTAATTTTAAATTTTGAACAATACTTGGCCCTTAGAATTTCTAAAAATTTTATTTTGTTTACAATATCTTAAATATTATGAAAAAATTATGAAAAAATTTATGTGTATAAAAATTTATTTAGGTAATTTTTATGCACAATTTTCATAAAATTAAATGCAAATCATGTAAAAAAAAAGTATATTGAAAATTTCAAAATGACAATATAATATTGTTTTAAAAAATTATAAACTGCTTGATTCCTAGATCTGATTATATTTGATTCTCAGGAATTGATGATACTTTCATATAAGTTAGTGAAACAAAAATAAGTAGCTCAAAAGCAGAGCCCCTCATTAAAAATTGATAAAGAGTTATTAATAATTGTAAAATTGAAAACTGCATTTATAACACAGGTCTTCAATAAAAAATCTAGAAGAATATTCAAACACAAACGTGCATAAAATATTAATGAATACGATCCGTATAAACATTTTTCGACTAGGATGCTAAACCCTGTCAAAATGAGAAATTCCAATACAGAACAGCTTTGTCTAATATTATATACTAAATAATCCAGTCTGCTTTTATTACTCGTCCTGCTCGGTTCAATTTTTAAGTTTTTCCGTCGTATAAGAGAGGAAAATTTTAAAATTTTCTTAAAAAATATTTTTTTTTTATTCCTTTTATAAGAACATTAAAATTATATGATACCATAATTTTTATGAAATTTTTATTTTTATTTGAATGATGTTAAAAAAGGTTTTTACATTTTTAATTCAAATTTTTTAAATGTAAAATCTAATTTTTTTTATGTTATAAAACAAAAATAAATATAAACGAAAAATGTGATATCCTTCGAAAAATTTCAAAAAAACCTTTGAAAATTACCAATAATTTTCTAACACAAACTATATACATATATATATATGTACATATGTATATTCTTAAAGGATTGTGCAACGAATTTATATTTTAATTTTTATTGTTTTGTTTTTTTCCCCTATTATTGGTGTTATAAAATGTTAAAAGAATGTTAAACTGAAAAGGATATTTTTAATCCTCAAAAATGGTAATTATTATTATTGAAATTGGTAATTTTTTAGTAATTTAGAATAAAAAAATAGAAAAAAATTTAAAAAAAAAATTGTTAGAAGGATGTTACGAAAACAAATTTGATATTTTTTTTTCTTGTTGTTTTGTTTTTAAAGTTAAAGAACGCACAACGTCTTTTCATTATAAAATTGTGTATGTAGTAGAATGAGTGGCAAAATATATATAGAAAAGAATAAAAAAAATAAAACATACGGTCTGTAAAGAAAAAAAAAAAGAGGAAAAATAAAAAATCATCATCTAAAAATGAATAGTGTTATACCATTAAAGGGTGTTGTTATCCTTTTGCTATAAAAGAAATCAAAAGAAAAAAAATGAAATAAAAAATATTGAAAAAAATTTCTTTTTCCTTTACTAGTGGTGTTGAGTAAAACACAAAGTATTAAAATTGATCGATTAAAAATCGCATGTTAAACAGTTCTTTTAAAAAATGTTGATTTCGTGTTAAATAAAGAACGGATATTATAAGGTTAAAAATGATGTAAGAATATAAATAGACATACTGTGCTACTAGTACATAAACTATATATACGCTTAATATAGAAAAATACATTCTGTGAAGAAAGTATTAGGATTTGATGATTTTAGAAAACAAAAAAAAAACCGCTTTGAATGACTGTCGTCAAATTGACACTACTGCCCTCTACAGATATGAATTTTTTACGTAAAAATTATTTATTTTATTCTTAATGCTTCAGCTTATCGATTCATTATTATGGAGATTTGTACAATTGATAAGGATATCGAATTAAAAATTTATTTGATAACTTAAATTGCAATTGGAATTTTATGTAACAGGATCTTATAGCATAATAAATTATGCAAATTGCATGATTGATTTGATTAATGTTACCTTTAAGCCTTTTATATCTTATGAACTTGCTGGTATATCATTTTAAATTTTTTTTTGGACAAGAACCGTAAAGCAATTGAATTAGTGCCGAAGGATATACAAAGAGAAATCTGAAAAAGCTTAACCGTGTAAAGATAATTGAGTGTGTTTGTCAAACAGGGACACCACAAGTTAAAAAAACTAAAACGATTTAAGCGACGTATATGTAACGTAAAATTTTGAGAATGAAATTTTTAAATTAAAAATTCAATTTGGAAAATTTTATTATTTAGACCTTTATTTTTCGGACAAATTCAATTGTGTTCAATTTAATTTTATTAAATAATTATTCGATTCACCTGAAATGGCAATATTTCAGATTCACATTTTTTTCAATAATAATTCAAATTATTAATTACAAGCATTCGTTATTGGCAAATAAAAGATATGAAATACAACGACTCATACTGTTTGAAGAAGATAATCTCAGTTCATTTAATTTTCGATGAATTTTATAAATTTAATACTGCGTTAACGAATTCTGCAAAAAATATTTTTTAACAGAATGTAAATATTTGTGCACATTAATATATTTCAGAGTTTCCATATAACGTACATAACAGATATCGTGATATGTTTAGATATATTTTATAATACATTTGCATATAAGATATAAAATAAATTTTTTCCGAATATACTCGTATTAAAGACAAATCGTTTATTTTGTCTATCTTTTAATTTTCTCATCATCTTCATAATTTATTGATTATTTTTTCGTATGAAAGCGCTTTTGAAATTTTTCGCGCAAAAAAATTAATTTAATTTTCATGCAAAATTATTTATTGTTTAGGGTTCAAAAAAGGTACATTGTGTTTGATTTGACTTTTGATTTGAGTTATAAACAATTCAATTAAAATAATTTATGTAAATAATATTAACAATTGTTATATAAATATATGTATGCCTTGTAAATTGATATATGATGTTTAAATGCATAAAATTATTAAAATGCATTAAGATCGAAAAAGTAACAAATATTGTTAAGGGTGTGAAAAATATACAAGATCAGTGAGCTCATCTCATACAATTAAAATTTTCTTTATTTCAAGCAAAATAAAATATGAAAATTTGAGCACGTTGGCAATGTAATTTAATATAAAAATTACTTACATGCACATGCACATACCCATATATAATTGAGTATAGTAGCAGTTTATGTTAAGGTTTGTAATGTTAATGTTGGTGGTTAAACATATTTTGGGAAAGAATTGTTATATATATTAAAATGTTTATCAACATTGTTGCTAATCGAAATTCATGTTGTATAAAGTAAAAGAAATTTTTTTATTCAATCAGTATAGTTTTCGTTTTTAATAAAAATGTGCGATAAAAATTAAATTTTCGGTATTTCTGTAATTTAATTGAATTTTTTTTAATATTAACAAAATTAAAAACAAATGATATGAATTAAAATTTTTCCACTGAAATCAAGCCGTATATGATCATGACCGTATGAACTCATATACGGTCTAGAAGTGTATACATACTATAAAATATACCTAAATATATTTGGTTGTTTAATGTTCTAAGTGAGATTGTGTGTTCTATTTTTATGATTGTAGATGAAAAATAATTCTAATTTTTGAAAAAATATCAAAATATTCTTTACATTCAATTAAGAAAAATCCTTTTGGATATAAATACCGTTAAGATTTTATAATCTTTGTTATCTATAATTTTGATAGTCTGAGATGCTAATTTAATGTCTTACTTTTATATATAAGCTTTCATATATAAGTAAATATTTGTTTTAATTTTAAGCATGTTATTATAGCATATAAAAAAAAGAGTTTAACCTTAAAATTTTATTAATTTTCACCGAACTAATTTTATAGACAAACTGTTATGTTAAACACATGTGCGCTATTGATTTTATTTAATTTATTCTTGACATGTAACTCATTTTCTTGTGTTATTTTAATTTATTTTTATCAGTCATAAATTTAGTAATATTAACTTATAATCATTCCAATTAATAATATAATTACAAACACATATATACAAGAAATTTAAATAAATAAACAAAATATATTATAATATGAATATTAATGTAGAAATGAAATACAAGTGGAAAACATGTAGAAAAAAAATTTTAAAAATAAATTTACATTATGTATATAATAACTTAAGGTTCGAGACTCGGAGTAGCGCTAATGAGCAGCCTTTATCTATAAATATTTTATATATAATTGAATAATTTTTTTTATTTCTTATAACCTTTCTCAATGCAATATTTATTTATAAATTATGTATAAAAATCTATGTATGTTATTTATTCAATTGGCATATATAACAGAATTAATCGGCAAAACGATTGATTTTTAGATTTTGTTTTTGTTGAATTTATTGTTAATTTTCTTAACTCAGTCAATACTTAACAAACTTCAATACACAATTGTTACATGTATAAGTTGAACAATTATTATTATTTTTGCAGAATGCATTAATAGTCTGAGTTTTCACTTCTGTATGTCACTTTTGAATATTTTTATATTATGTAAATAATAACAAGATTTTCTTGGAATTTCATATATGTATATGAGTTAAAAATATAAATGAAAGGGAGCGATAAGCTTTGATATACATTTTTACATGCATTTTATCATATCTAATAATAAATGACAAGATTTTTTTTTAAATTTTGATATTTGACTTCTGTTTTTCAACAAAAATAGCTATTGAATAAATTACTTACAGTAAATTTGTGCTTTAAAAATCATTCTTTGAAATATATTTGAATAATATTGTGCAAGCAAAAGGTTTACTTTGTTAAACTTTTTATAACTTTAAGTTAAATAATAAATAGAAAGGCTTGTGAACTGACGTTTAGAAATTAGAAAAATTACTATAGAGAAATTTTTGAAAAATGATTCGTAATTGAGGACGTTTTTATTGAAATGGTGGTAACAGATAGTGGCATCATTCTTTGTGACGGCGCAGCCTATATAATGAGACAAGAAACTCTTATTTTATCACTTTTGATCCAAATGTCCTTGAAGGACGATAAAAGCCCTTAAAAGTAAAAATTTTATCAGAAGCTTGTATTTCTTAAATTATTTAAATATTTCATGTTTCTATAGAAATTTCTGTTAGACCGCTTCGAAAGTATACGTTTTTTTTTTTTAAATAAAATTTAGTTTGTGAAACAGCGTTTCTTGTTGGAAAAGCACTGCGAATTTTTTTCACTTTAATATGAGACAATTCAAGCACACAATATTAATTTAATTTTTAATTTTTCAGTTTCTCAACTTTTTCTATAATTCCATTTTCTTTTTTAATAAAAAATTAAAGAATTAAAATATATAAATTAAAACATAAACTTAACAATTAATCAAATAATCTATTATGTAATTAAAATATTTTAAAACACTTATAATGAAAGAGAAGGAGAAACAAAAGTGAATAAATAAATAAATATAATAAAAGTGGACATTATAAAAGCTCTTTTATATATGTATGCCAGAAAAGAATGTCGAGTCTTAAAAATGATAGGAAACGTGATGTATACATACATATATACATATATATATACTAAGGTTGCGTGAGCCGTAATGCGAATATAATTTAAGTGAAAATATAAAATGTTCAAAATGAAAAATTTTTCTTTCATTTACCTATAATTATTTAATACTTATATAAATTTATATTAACGAAAAGTTAAATAATAATAAATTATAATTTAAAAAACATAAAAAATAATAAACTTTACTCACCTATATACAAATACCTAAATACATAGCATACTAAATAATATTCCCTAACTGAATATATAAATTAAATAACAATATTTAATTTTAATTTATAAAAATTGATTATGATTTAAAAAAAAAAAACTCATATACACATAAAAACTTATATACAAATGTTTTTTTGTTTAAAAATTCTGTACAAAATTAAAACAAGAGTGGGAAAATTAAAATTCTAAAAAATATACGAGTATATATGTACATTCTGTTATATGTATAACAGTATAATACTCCCACTAATCTATATATTTTGTATAATTAATTATATTGCAAACTAAACAGCAATAATATGTAATGAAATAATTGTGTATAATAAATTTAACAAAAAAATTTAATTAATTTTAATTTTGTTAATTAAAATATCAGTTCAATAATAATAAATTGTTATATTGTTGTTAATTATAAAATTAAATAATAATGTAGTTGTATTTATATTTTAAAAGTTAATTTTATTTATTTCTGGTAAATATGCATAATTATTAATCAAAATTTAAAATTTAATAACAGTAATAATAATAAAATTTAATAGTAACAAAAATAATTGTATGTGTAAACAATATAAATAATATATAACTGTATATAAAAATTAATTATAAAAAAAAAAATAAAGTAAAAGAATATACAAAACCAATAATGGAATATAATGCACACAATACTGGCTCTGGTATGATGAGTGGTGGAAATACAACAAATATCAGTGGTGGTGGTGGCGTTGGTGGCGGTTTAAGTGGTGGTTATATTGGTGATATATCATCAGAAGATTTAGTACATGAATCTGATGCCGGTATTGATGATGTATATGCATCAACTGATAATGATAATAATTTTGAATCAAATTTACGTAGACGTAAAGGTAAAATAATATCGTGTGCCAAAGAAACCATCGAAAATGGTAAGTTTTAAATTTTATATAAAAATTATATTTTATATTAAAATTATTTTATTATAATTTCGAAAATTATATTTACTTCCATTTTGTTTGTGTATATCTATAATCTAAACTATATCATTCAACTTTTTGTTACTAAAGATTATTGGAACTGCCAAATTAGAATGTGAGAATGCTGTTTTATTTTATTCAGAATCTTGAGGCAGCCCCTAAAAGTATGCAAAATTACATTATTTTAAATTTTTGATGTTGAATGAAAATTAAAAAAAAACTGGTTCGTTTAAAAAAAAAAAACTTTCAAAAAAAAAAAAATAAATAAAAGAAGTTTTCAAGACAAGAATGTTGTTACTTATATTAATTAACGGACAGCTTCTATATTTCAATACAGACTCCAGAATTTTTAATCAAAACTTAAAAAAATATATACAAATAGTAATGTATACAGATTATCTCTAACATGTAATCTTTCCCAAATCTTTAGAGAAATTCAATAAACTCGATGGTACATTGATAAGTTTGAGATTAATATTATGAAGAATATGAAGGTGTGAAGAATTATAAAGTTTTACGTAAACAAAGTAGTTAATTCATATTTTCTTTACAAAATATTTTCTAATTCAAAAAAATCATTCCAGCCCTCCTATAATAGGAGGACTAGGATGAGGATATAATATCCTTATAAAAACTTTTGGTATCTATTCTTTTGTATAAATAAGTAAATAAAAAAAGGAATGGAAATTCTAAAAACATATAAAAAAAAAAACAAAATTAAACTGTTTATTTGCAAAAAGTATTATGTAAGAAGGTGATAAAGAAAAGGAAGAAAGTGTTTACGTGTAAGTATATATGTACGTACATAAATATTTATACACGAAATGCTATTATGTACACCTTTATATATATGTAATATGTATGTATATTAAAGTGATGACGTAAATTTTAGGTGTGTGGCAGCGCAAAAATTAAATCAAGTTCTATATCTTATATACATACTTAGTTATGTTTATGAAATTATGTAAATTGGAATGATGTGAAAATTAAAAATTGTAGTTTTCGTTTTTTTAAAGAAGATTCTAATGATATATTAAAATAGCTTTCGATTGAAACTCGGTATTACTTATTTAAATTACCTTAATATTATATTCTCTATAATCTTAAAATCTTCAAGTTACATACATACTTATAAGAATATTTCATTACATACTTGCAGAGATACAGAATAGATTTTAAACTGAATATTGAATTTATGTACATGAGTATATGTATAATATTTATTAGCCATTCTTTATTATGTTTACTCATACTCATTCTATATGCTTATATTGAAAAACAAATGCACATATTAAAAGTTGAAAGGTTTTTGCCTTACGTGCATAATATTGTGCATTTGTTGTATACAAATGTATAAGAAATTGTAGTATTGTCGTATATTATTTATTTGAGTATGTATGTATAATTATAATCATGGTGTGATATTGTATTTCTAACGGATTTGTGTCGTCTAGTCAGGATATAATTTTTTTAATATTATTTCTTTTTTTTATCCTTTAATATTTATTTTCTTCTATATAATGAAAATATTTTCTTTTAATATCAAACTTTACATTTCATAGAAATAATAGTCTATAATGTAAACAAATATTCACTGTTACGTAATATTATAAGGGGAAAAAAAAATATTATGTAGATAAAAAAGAGTTATTAATTTTAAAACTTAGCTATAGAATGATTTTGAGTATATTGTAAATTTTATTTATGCATTTGTTTATCGCTGAATGCGCGATGGCATTGATAATAGAATTTAAGCTGAAACAGGGTGATTTAATATTTTATTAAATCAATTTCAATTTATTGAATGAAATTGTAAGAGTTAAAGGCTTCCTTTAGGACGTTTTTTATATTTAATTTTTTGATTTAAATTTAAAATATCTTCCAATTTGTAAATTCATTTTAACTAAAACGAGAAAAAAAATAGAGTTGACCTTGTCAACTCTGTGATACCCGTACGAATTTGTTATCCTATGTGCGAATAACTAATGTGCCATAACTAACTATGGGGCAGACTATGACTTTAAGTTGCCGTATTACCATATTAATTTATGCAAAATTTCAGTACTATGTGTTATTCAAAATACTGGTTGTGCCAAACTACTATTGATGTTGTATGGCAGCTACCAGAAAGAGCCAAGAAATTTTAGCGAATTTTATCAAGCACATCGGCCCTACTAATATATATTCACTTGTGTGAAATCTCAATATCACAGCTTTTATAGTTTTTGAGATATAGTCAAATAACTTTTGAAGTTGTATGGCAGGTACCAGAAGGTAAGCCAAGTAATTTCAACGACTTTTATGAGACACATTGGCCCTACTAATATATTCGTTTGTGTGAAATTTCAATACCACAGCTTTAATAGTTTCTGAAATATAGTCAAATAACTTTTGAAGTTGTATGGCAGGTATCAGAAGGAGCCAAGTAATTTCAACTACTTTTATGTGATACATTGGCCCTATTAATATATTCGTTTGTATGAAATTTCAATACCATAGCTTTAATAGTTTCTGAAATATAGCCAAATAAATTTTGAAGTTGTATGGCAGCTACCCGAACCGGTACCCCGATCATGTTCAATTTAAATAGGGTTCTGGAACTTACTGCAATAAATCATTTGTGAAAATTTGGTGAACTTAGCTCAATTAGTTTTTGAGTTATCGTTCGGACGGACGGACGGACGGACAGACAAAGCTAAATCAACTCAGAATTTGACGCTGATCAAAAACATACACTTGAGTCTATATGTAACACCGTTATTTCTTAGCGTTACAAACGGTAAGGCAAATTTAGTATACCCTTCGAACATACGTTCGTACGGGTATAATGATTATATCTTATATGGAAAATACTAATTTTTTCCCTGTTGTACTTGTATACAATAATCTTGTGCTTGAAAATGGCAATAAACAGTGTTATCTAATATGGTAAACGAGAAATTTGCGTCTACTACAGATTAATATCCTCTTCACTGAATATACGTATATTCTTTCAAATAAGTCCCAATATTTTATAATAAAAACAGCCCTTGTAGCAAAAAATGTGCGTACACGGGAGGATGCTATTGTTTTCTTTATGTATAAGTTTATCTTTTTGATCGTCGTCCTTAAAATTTTCGCTGTTTTGACAGCATTAAAATAACAGAACAAAAGTTTGAGCTAAACAAATGAAATTAAATTTGAATTAAATAATTAATGGTATAAGGAAAAAAATATTTAAAATTATTTGTGTATCTTCTATAGCTGGTAGCTATATACAATAATTCAATTTATAATAATTTTCTTACAGTAATCTTCTGCTTTCAACTTTCCCTTTTATTCATAATAAGCATGAACTTGTAAATGACATAGAGTGTGGTTGGCGTATAGGCGTATGAACGGGTAAAATTAAAAAATTTTCTTCCACAAACTTGACTCGAATCAGCGACTTACTTATCTTTCTTGGCATAACTGGTTAATTGACTCCTTAATTTCTAAAATTTTCTATGTTATTATTAAAGTTATAAAACAAATAGAATTTACAAAACATATCGAATTTATAATTTCCAGTATATGCAAATAAGTATTTTATGTTCTTCTATTCAAATATTTTAATTGATCTTATTAATTCGGTGTTATTTACTTTAAATAATTTTTATGTATAATGCTTATTTACTAACTTTAATAAGTAAACATGATTTTGTTTATGCTATAAAAGAAAAATTTCTTTTGTAATCCTTTTTAAATTACTTGTTTTTGCAAATAAATAAATTCATTATTTTGGCATTGCGCCATAAGAAAATACAAATATGAAAAAAAAAATTAGTTTTTCTCTGTTTCATTGATTGTGTTTTTCTTTTTAAATTTTTTTGTTTAATATTTGCGTTTTCTATTTAAATTTATTCACATAATAAAACATACAAATTGTAACTTTAAATTTTTATATACCTATATGTAAGAAGAAGTAATGTAGCTAGCACGCCACTAAATCGGAAACGTTTTTCTAAATTTTGCAAAAAAAAAATTTTTTTTTCTTGACATGTTTATAAGGATTTTGTTTTATTTGTAGTAGTTATTCTTTTAAAAATTATCTCATATACACAGTGTTCGAGTTTTTGAATTTTACATTTGTTTTTTAGAAATTTGGAATTTTATCGTCACTTTTTTAATATCAACTACTTTTTAACTTTTCTCCTTTACTAGTTTTGTCATGAAAAGGACGGAAACTATGTAAATTTTACACATAAATTTCAAAGTATTTAAGTAATAGCTTTAATTTGATCGAAGAGTGTATTTTCTATGAAAATTTATCAAGACTCAAACCTTTATTAAATTTTAAACACTAAATTTGGTCAATATTTTACTTATCACTTGAAAATTCAATTTCCTACGTATTTCTACCAATTTTTAACAAAAAACAAGTACTTACGTAATTTCGTCATAAATTTCTCGTCATTAACAGAAATCCAATTGTCTTTGAATGCTTTACGAGAAATTAGACAGAAAATTATGTTATTTTTCTTATTTAGATAATATCATTATCAAATACTAACTTTAACGGTTTCACAAAATTTAATGGGACGCAAACAGTTTTTGGTATAACCTGTAATCTCTATTCACTTCTTTTAATTTCCTTTCTTCTAAATTGATCTGCATATACAAATAGGTGTTCTTTTATACGCGCATAATGTGTATATTTTTATATTTACAAACAGATTGCGTCATTCAAGTAGATTTTCAATGAAATGACAAAATCTGTTGTACGTACAGATGTTCACTTCATCAAAAACCCATCCATCAAATGTTACAAAAATATTTTTAATATTCTTCATTGCAAATGAAACATGAAGCTAAGAAAATCTAAAAAGAATTTGAATTTGAAATATTTTTAATATTACTGTTATTGAAATTGTTTTTTTTTCTTGTTTTTGTTTTTTTAGCTGCTGGTGTTGTGTTACAGTTAACATGTTAAC